TATTTCTTGAATCAATCCACCTTTCTCCATCCCCACTGCTACTTCTACACCTTCACCCACGCTGCCAGCATCTGCTGAGATTATTACACCAGCCTTTCAACTAGTCTCCCTGAATCGACTTTTGCCATTCCCTTTTCTATTTTGTGGTCAGAGTGATTTGTATAAAACATAACTCCCTTGCTTCAACCTACTTTCCATAGCTTGCACTCAGAGTAATACCTGGATTCCTTATCATGTTCTAGCCCCTGCTACCTGTCCAGCTGCTCAGAGGGAGCACGGGATTCTCCGGCCTCTCCAGCAGTGTGTGAGCCCACAAACACGTCATGTACTCTCCGGCTTTTGAACCTCAGCCCTTGCTGTTCCTTCTATCTACAATTTGAGTTCCACCACTAACACCACTCCCTCAACTTGACAACACCTTCCATTCCTCAGGTTCCAGTTTAGCAGACCACCTTGGGGTTGCCTTCTTTAACTGCCTGGGACAATGGTAGTGCCCGCCTCTATGCTTCCATAGCCCTCTTCATTTTCCCATTGGAGTTATTTACAACATTGAGTTCTGCTATAAAAACTGTAGTTGAAATTTACTTGTCATTGTATTCTGTCAGAAAGCCATTTTCAGAGTATAGCAGTTGCTCATGTACATGCATTTATGAATTTAAATAAGACCAGAAGAGAAAAACCAAAGTTTTCTTGGGGTAAAGAGAACTTCTCTCATTTAAGAGTATTTCTCGGTTGCTTAGAAGTAGCTCATTTACCCAAAATTTTGTTTTGTTTTCTTATTTCAACATGTTTTTTCTTCTGGTGAAAGGGAGGCCACAGGAATTCTTAAAGTAATAGTTGCTTTAGAAAGGACAAACAACTCTTGGAAGAAAGCCTTAGAGTCGAGGTGTGTAGAGGGAGTTGTACAAAACACCAATGAAGTTTCACTGGCCAGAGAAGTGCTGCCCATCCTCTCTGCTCAGTCAGACATCCTCCAGCAGGACACAGCCCTGGTTCTGCTCTCAGAGGGTTGGGCCATCCTTTAGCTCTGCTTTGCAATGCCCTTTGAATTTGCTGCCATTGTACCAGGGACAACATCAAATTTATTCCTGCATCTCAAGGCCTTTGCACAATGACTGACACTCAGTGGGAGGCTGCTTCACCCCAGGCATGGGCTCTGGGGAAAACTGTGACATTATTTTAAAGATTCAAACAGGGTTTAAAAGGAGCGTTTTAAACTTCACAAAACTAAAATTAGAATAGGCTACGATTGATAGCAGTTAGAGTAATTGAGAAAGATTCCAACCAAATACCCAGGGATTAATTTATTTTAAAGCATGCTCTTTAAGGTCATGGACTTTTGTAGGTGAAATAACGACATGTTAAACTTTCTCAGTTCAAACTTATTTCAATCACCACACATTTATTGTGCATCTTCCATGTGTCAGACAGTGTGTTGAGTGCTGGGTACATAGGTGAGTAGGATGTGCCCTGTGGCCACTTTCATTTGGAGAATTACCACAAGGTTCTGCTAGGATACTATGTGCTAAGTCATGACTCACAGTGGCATGAGAACCCCTCAAGGACCTGTGATAACAGGGCCAGCCCAGGCGGGATGCAGGAGGGAGGGCTCTCCTTTTTCCCCGGTGAGTGATGGAGGCCCACCCATCCCATCCACCCTTCATCAGGTCTGCAGAACACATCCTCCCACCCCCTACCAGGGCTTGCACTCTCTGAGAGGGACTGAGAATTTGTTCTCAGACCTCTGTATAACTGTTCTCATTTGGAAATGGCTGGTCTCAGGAGACTCCCTGGTGGTGAACATAGTTGCCATTGGACCTCAGTCAACTGGAATGACCTTCCAGTGTGATCCAGACATACCCTTCCTCTTTTGACCACCTTTCTGTGACCTCAGGGATTCCCCTCTACTGTGCCCCTGCCCGATGTCCCAATGATATCTTGGACAATACAAAACCTCTCGCCACTTCAGAAATGGCTCTATGACTTCTACATGGACTGCAAGTCTCAGCCAATGCAGAACTCACACTGATAGGAATCATAAGGCCTCTTTTAGCACTGCGTGTCCTTGGAGTGCCCTGGATGGTGCCTCTTTGTGGCTGATCCCCATCATGGCTGTGTCTTCCCCCTTGCTCCACTGACAGGGACCTCACCATGCCCTCAGCCAGTTGGTGCCAGAGTCACTAATATTTCTGAAAAGATGATGGATTCCCAGGCTCCTCCAAAAGGCCAAAAGGCCTTCTTAGAATGCCAGGGAACTGTTAGAACCTTTCATTTTAACTGATACTTTGTAAATTCTCTTCTTCCTGCTGTATGTCTCAGTCTTCCTGCCCTCCGATATTCCTAAAGTCCTATTCCTCAACCCTCACTGGTTTCTCTGCTCTCTGCGTAAGTGCACGGTTAAGAAAAACTTTGTGTTCTCATTTAATTCCATTATCCCAGGTGGCCTTGGCAAGAATCCAGTGGCCTGGCTCCACATGTAACGTGGTGGGAAGGAGACATATGGAGAGGTGGAAGGTGGAAAGAAGCACATAATTTCAGTAGTGTATGAATGTATCACCCAGGTGATACAATAAACATACAATCTGTCGATTTATCTACCTCTCTACAGTCATTCATGTCTTTGAGTGCTGGAAGGGACAGGGAGAGGGTGTGGAAAGGTGGGGCATAATCTCCAAGAATTCTCCACAAATCACCTCCATTTCCATTACCCTTGACCCGGGAACATTAATTAAACACCTCCCACCTGCCCCCGTGTGACCTCTGCCCACCTGACTCCCAGGGGCTGCAGGTGTGCTGGCTGAGCAGTCCCCTTTCTGTGCTGGCTGAGCAGTCCCCTTTTAGCTCACGCTCTGGGCTGCACAGCATGGCTGCAGGTTCCATCTCTTTAACCTGGCTCTCAGGGCCATGGGCCACTGACCATTGTGCAAAGTGTAAGTAAGTAAGTAAGTGTAAGTAAGGGTCCAAATTGGATTTAGTCTTCTGTGAGATGATGAGGCAGCATATGTAGCTGAAATTTAGAGCATTGGGGGTCTCACTGACAGTATTCTCCCCACGGAGCTTCTTTGAAGGTGTGAGTAAAGCCCCCTGAAGCTAAATGTGCCAGTGGAGGAGACACTAGATGGGAACCAGCCTCTCCCATCACTTCATGCCAAAAGTGTGAGGGTTCATTCCCTTCTTTCTGGGTATCTCAAGAACCCTGATCACTATGATTTCCTGAAGCAGGAGCTTTATGTCTATTATCACTAATTCTCAGGAAGGTAGGCTGGGGTAATACAGTGGTTCTCAAAGCATGGTCCCTGGACCAGCAGTATCAGCAGCACCTGGAAACTTGTGAGAAGTGCATGTTCTCTAGTTCCACTCTAGACCTGCTGAATCAGGAGCCCAAAGGTGGGGCCTATGATCTTTGTTTTAACAATACTTCTAGGTGATACCAATGCATACTCAAGTGTGAGACCCACTGGGGTAAGTGGTTAAGAGCAAGGAGTCAGGTTGCCCGAGTCAAAATCCTGACTCCACCTTTGTGTGATCTGTGAAGGGCCTTTGTCTCTCAGTTTCCTCATCCAAAATTGGGAACAATAAATTACCTGCTACTACTTCACAAGATTACGGTGAGGAAGAGATTTCATGCATGTAAGGCACTTAGATAAGTGCCTGGCATAGAGAACCTGCTCATGAATGTTAGATACTCTTCATCGAAGGTAGGTGATATTTTCCTATTACACAGATGAGGAAACGGAGGCTCAGAAAGATTCATGGCTGGTCCCGTGCTGCAGAGGTAATGTGTCTCACTCACTAGCGACACATCTCCTTCCCTTCAGGCTTCATGTGTTCCTGTAGTTCATCTGGGGTGTAGGGGTGGGGCCTTGTGCAGGGCATCTGTGGCGGCTGGGGGTGTCCAGATCTTGGTCGTGCCCACCTCACTGAAAACTGTGCCTCGAGGCACCCTGGCCTTGGCTCTGCTGACCTCTCATGCTTTCCTCTTGTGCACTTTGGGTTCTCGCTCTCTCCATTCTGGGATCTATGGTGAAACCAAGCCAAAGGGTTTAACAGGACTTTCACCTTGACCCTGTTTTGTCCACAACCAGAAGATGAGCTGGCATTGGTGGAGGCGGCAGTGAGAATTCGGGGTTAAAGATTCTGCCAGAGGAATTTAGTGACAGATTAAAATTCATTCCTGTGGAAAATTGAGAGTAGATTAGCCAAATTGCTTAGACTTGTATGATACTCATGGATTGGGGTCTTTGGGGTAATTAGTAAATTGTGCATGGAATTGGTAAGCAATTAATAAAGGGAAATTTTCTCCTCTACTTGTGTGGTTGGTTTGGGGTCCTTTGCAGCCTCAGGCAAACTTGCTGAGAGGAGTTCTGTCCATCCACTTCCATTCTCCAGGGGTTCAGCACATGGATGGTGATTTAAGATGAGCTCCCCTGAATTAATGCTGTACCCCCAGGCCAGTGGGCCGCTCTGAGGGGGTTGATTGTTCAGGGGATCTTGGCCAGTGATTTTAGAAGGCAAGAACCACCCCATATCAAAGTTAACAATGACTAAGGGAAAAGGCTATTATCAATGTAAATATGTATTAAATGAGCTACTTGGCAACCATAACATCTTTCACTGCCTCATATCCCTCCACTCCCAACTGCATGTTCATAGATAAACCACAACCAAGCAGTCTACATTTACAAAATTGGCCTGGATGTGGACTTCTCAAATGCAGTGTGTAAACTAAAATCAGGGTTGATAGTATATTCATGGTGATTGTTTGTGTTTATTTGCCAGCGACTTCTTAAGCCTCTTTTATTCAGTTTTTCCTTTGGGTCACATCAGTGCCAGTGAGTTTAATATATTCTGTTTCTTGGCATTCATGGGGTCAGGGATGTGTTCCCTCCCTCCCACATTAGAAAGAAGAAAGACAGTTTTTAAGGATTCTCTTGAAACTTGGGGACAACCCACTGGGGTCCAGGTATACACACTCTGACACCATTTTACGTAAACCCAGACATGCTTCTGCTCATTTTAATTAGACAGATAAAATTAGCAAGGAGATTAAGGTAAAAGGAGAAATTAAAAATAATTAAATGTTAGGTGGAATTTACAAAAGTGAATTGAACGATGAGGTACAATAAGGAATGTAAAGAGAAACACAGACACATTTGAAACATTCCTCGGATGCCACGCGGCTTAAGCCAGTCCATAGGTAAAGCAAGAATTCTCCCTTGTCACTTCTTGAATTGCAGATTCCAGTGATGTGAAAGAACATTCTCCAGAAACACTTTCCTTCTCCTTTTCTTCAGATGTTATCAGGAATAATTAATCAGTCAGTATCATTCCAGGATGGCCCACACTGCATCCAATTCAAACCACTCACCTGTTTCCTGTCTGAATTTGTAAGCTTTTTATTTTTTTCCTTTCATTTTATTTTTCTCCCTCTCCTCTCTTCCCATTGAGCCAATAGGCCGATTGGGCCAACCAGAAAGCCAATCCAACACCATATTCCAGCCCCTTTGGATTTCCTAGGGACAAAGACTTCCCAGTTCTTCTTTCTTGTTTGCATCTGTTATGAACAAGCACAGTCATTTTATAACGCAGACATACATATGTGTGCTTTGGCACACGGAAACAGGTTTTTCTTTTTTTTTTTTCTCCAATTTGTGGTTTCTTTTTCCTTTTTGCAGAAAATGCAAACAAAAGAAAAATGAGGTTTTCAATTGAAGGTACATCTCTTCTTCAATATGAAGACATTAATTGAATTGGTTGGATCCCCATGCAGTGGTCAGCAAAGTCCTTTGGCAACTGACAGAACAACATCTGGAGACTCAGGAGCTGGGTTTTGTTTGAAGAAACTTCCCTACAGGAGTCATGAGCAAAGGGAAACGAGTGTGGGAGAAGGGAGGGGACTCTCAGGGAGGAGTACAAAAGGAGAAAAGAAAAGAATGTCATTGGTGAGGAAGAAAATGGAACACTGCTTCTGTTTCTTCCCTCTACCTCCTTCCCTTTCTTCCTGTGGATGGGCAACTCCAGCCCACTGAGGATGGGAGCTGGGTTTACTCTTGTTCTCCTGATGCATATTGTTTTGCCTTCACTTCTGTTGAACATCACCTTTTTAGATTTTTATTATTATATATTTGGTTTCCCACGGCATCTCAAACATGCTTCTGTCACTGAGAAATGAAGGTTGCCTATTAGCAACAGGTCCGGTTGATTCTTCACTGATGGAAATGCATTCCTCAGCTGGGAAGCCAGTCTCTCCAGTACATTCCACAGTGGTCAACCTCTGGTCCCCCTTGACCTTGGTGCTTTTCCCTCCTCTCTTTCCCCAAGAAACAAGAGTTCTCATGCCATTGCTGTTGGTGACTGACTCATCTGGACCCTCATAGAATGAATGCTGTTCAGGATCTTCTTCTGATGGCCTGCTAAGGTGACCCCTATTCTCAGGAGGTCTCTAGGAGGAAAGAGCCAGAAAAGAAGTCACTTTAGTGTTAGGTCAGCTGTTCGCAGATCAAAACTCATCACTAAAGCCATGCTCCTGGGAAGTAGCCATGCTACAAAAATCCAACTAGCTTAAGTTTACCCAAGTTTTTGGCAGCTTGCAATTAGAGATTTTCCTGCTCACTTTCAGTTTCTCCCTCTTCTCTAATACCCCCTCAGCTTAGACAATCCTGGGAGTGCTGCGCCTTGTTCCAGGGGTGTGTTCCTTATGTATGGGCTCTAAGGCAGCCCCTTCATTGTCTCCTGACCCTCAGATGGACTGGACTTTTCCTCTGCTATTTTTTAACACTCCAAGTGCACACTATATGGGGCTTAAGTTATTCTGTGGAGTTTTCTGCCTAAATTAGTGATCACCCGCTGAGACTGAAAAGATATGGGGCTCACCTGGTCTTCTGATGTTTTCCCCTGAGTTTCCATTTTCTGCCTCCGTTTGAATTTTAATGTAAGTATTTTTAAGAAGAGTGGTCTCAAAATAACTAAAATATCTGCCCAATCAGGAATCCAAGGAATATGTCCAGGATAGAGCACTGAATTGGATTAATAAGAACAAGTTCATGGCTTATAGTTGACCTGTGCTAGACTCATGCATTCTTTCTCAGTTAATAATAATACATAACACTGCTTGAATGCATCCCACGTGCCATACACTATCTCATTTAAACCTATGTGAAAGCATTTCACAAAATTAGAGAAACCACTGCAAACTCCATGATGATAAAAATTTAACAGTAACCATTTTTTGTGTGCATGCTATGGGTAGATAATGGATCAAGTACTTTGCGTATGCCATTCCATTAACCTCCCATCACAGACTAATGAGATGGGCATTATTATTTATAATAATTTATAAATTATTTATAAACAAGGCAAGCAGGGCTCAGAGAAGTTAAGTAATGTGCTCAAGGTCACAGAGTAGGTGAGCAGTGGTGGAGCTGGTATTCAAATACAAGACAAGTTGGTTCTTAGCACCCCTGCAGGGATGCTGGCAGAACTCTTCTAAGGTCCTGACTGTATTTCCTCTAAAGCCCCCCAAATCCAGCACAGCTGATTGCTTTGTACACTGCACATCAGACCCTGGTGAACCGTTGGATGGATCTCTGTCCACAATGCCTTGGCTGTCCCGCCCCATGCCCCTTTCAGTTAGTAGTCAGTCTCCCAAGGGATGCTGCTGGTTGAGATGCTCAAAGTGTTCGTGTCTTTTTGGCAAATACTTTAGGGAGGCATGCTTGAATTTTGAATTCACAGATTGTCCCACAATCTATTTTATTAAGTGCTTATTTTCCTTTTCCTTCTTTTACTTCTCAATAAACAAATCAAATTGCTCTAATAGTGTGTGGACATGCTTTACTTTGAACGAAATCCCTTAATTTACAGTTTCACTTTCCTTTTGGTCTTCCCCTTATCTTTTTCATGTGATTATTCTCAGACTGAGAGAATTCTTTTAGATCCTGGGGGATTATGTGACAATGGCCCCCATACGCAGGCAAATCACAGTGGGAAAATGGAGTAGCCAGTCTTCATAAACACCTGATTCTATCTCTGAACTCAGTCCCTCTGATTACCTAGGGGCATCAATTTTCACTCTAAAAGATGAGGAAGTTGGTTTTCCACTGGGGAGTGCATCTTTTCTATTTATTAATTTTTGCTGTCTATTTGACAGTCATTCTTAATGGCAGGAACCATCTTTTTATGGCATCACCAGGAAATGAATCTAGTTTTTAAGAAATGTATTCTGATGTTCAGTGGATCCAAAGCTAGACATACATTTAAACCATCTCCCTGGAGAAAGTGGTGGCTCCACCATTTCTGGGGAAAAAAAAAAAAAAAGACCTCAGAGAGGTGGAGCTGGACTCCAGGAATACTGACAGAAAAACCGTCAGAATGTCAGGAAGCTGTCCCTGGGGGCTCAGCTATGAGGTGGATCATCACCACTCTTTCCTCAAACCGGGACTCAGCAACCGGTTTGCCCCAGTTGCAAGGAGGAAATCCCAGCACCTTGCACTGGGCCCATTGTATAATAGGTGATCAATATGTGTTTGCAGACTGATGGATGAATGAATCTTCTACCATAGGAAATGTGTATTACAGGCTGCCAGATTCCATAATATGTGCTATTGGTACATGTTATAGCCCACGGAGCCCATGAAGTCCCCCTGTGTGTGTGTGTGCGTGTGCATGTGTGTGTGTGTTTGAAGGGTAGAGTTAATTTCCCAGGTAGGATTATGTGAGCTTCTGTGAATATAGAAGGTGAAATTTGACCCTTGCCAACCTTAATCCAGTGGTTCCCAAACTTTGCTGCACATTAGAATCACCTGAGGAGCTTTAAAAATCTCTGATGCTCAGATCTCACCACAACTAATCAGAAGGTATGGGAGTGAGAACCAGGCATCAATAGTTTTTAAAGGTCCTCGGGTGATTCCAGTGTGCAGCAAAGCCTGGGAACCACTGAGACCCTGGGGTGGACAGGTAGCAGAACATTGAACTGGCAGCCAGAAAAGCAGGCTTGTGTCTCAACTTTGCCACTTGTGAGCACTAATGTCACATAAGTTCAGAATCTGCAGAATGGAAGGGGTAGAACTAGATAAATATTTCCCAGACTACAGTTCTATAAAACCCTGCCCCTCAAAAATATGGTTCTATGGTATTTAATAATTTTAAATGGGTTCCTTTATTTCAGGATTTCTCGTGGCCTTTATAATGCTAATATGAGCAGTGAATCTCCAAGAGGGTGATAAAGTGCACAATATTTCCCAAATTTATTTGACTGCAGGACCTTTTTTCCAAGGAGAACCTATTAACATTTCCCACAACCGGTGCTTCTCTGAACATTCTTAGGGGAAATGCTGGACCACATGGATCTTTAAAACTCTTTCTGGCTCTCATCTTATTTGAATAATTTTATTTTGTGTATTCCTCCAAACTCCTGTGGGAGACAGACTGGTAAATAATTGTGGGGGATGGAAATGCATGCTTATTGACAACTGCTATCTAAGTATAAGGACAAGCCCCCCACACATCTCAGACTGTTGCTGAATCAGTGCAATGCTTTTCCTGCTATGTTATTTAAAGTACTGGCTGGCTGTGTTCTTTCCATCTGGATGCTCTCTTTGATGAGTCGAGTTTAAAAACTTAAATGGGGAAGAGACTCTGGGTGATTAGGCAAATGACATATGGCTATAACTTTGAAGAACTCTCATTTGGGGCCCAGAGTGGATTTCCACCTCCCCACCCCACCCTCACATCCCCCTACATCTTTCCAAGGTGCTCCCTGTCCAGGCCTGGTCTATACAGAGACGGAGCTCCAGGGATGAGGCCAGAAATAGGACTCACAGCATCTGCAATAGCAGGGAAGGAGCACTGACCCCTAGGTGTGGTCTGGACAGAGAGATTCTCATCACTTACTCTGATGTCATCTGGGTGACCAGCTGGAGGGAGGTGAAGCCAGCAGTGAGGAAGCTGTCCCTGTACTGGACCATTTTGATGGCGCTGAGCCAGTCATCCACGGTGGTAAAGGCCGTGAAGTCTGGGATGGAGCGGTCGAGCAGGGGCTGGGAAGGCCTGGTGAGACAGAGAGGGGCAGATGACCACACACTGCAGAGATGCATGGACAGTGCCCCAGTCTGGCCTGACAGCTGACTTCATGGAAGGCAGCATTCCTGATGGAATGAGGATTATAGTGGAGCCCTGGGCTGAACCTTTCTTCCTCATGGAATCCTAAATCAGCATGACTTCTATATCCAGGTGGCCAGTGTCTCTGCCTCTGGGGACTGTCACAGGTCAGTTAACCCAGACAGGCAGATTGACATAGCGTTCAGTCTGAAGGGAACAGAAGGCTCCCAACTCCTTTGTAAACCAAAATTTAGGAGCCTCACCATTCAAAGACATGATCCTTTAAAAATATGCATATTTTACCACAACCTCCCCAGATATATTGGTAACATTTTTTTCCTAGTTTCATCCTTAGCTATTTGAAAAAAAAAATGGAGCAATGAGAACCACTGCCAACCTTCTTTGGCACATTTCAAAGCAGACACCCAGGTATCCAAACCAGAAATCCGGGTGCTATCTAGACATCTCCCTCACCCTCAACATCCATGTCCAATCCTTCACCAAGTCATAAAGATTTTGTCTCCCAAATTGCCAAAACTCATTTACTTTTTTCCACAACCATTATCCTGATTTAAGACACTATTTTCTCTATCACGATCATTGCAATATTCTCCCACCTGTCTTTCTTCACGCATGCGTGCTCTCCTCAACATAAGGCCCACACTGTAACTAGACACTGTTTAAAAAATTTGAACATGATCACGGTTAGAGGCTGCTGGCTATGCCCCTGACCATGAAACCACCCATATTTAGGGATCACCATTTCACTAGACTCACACAGCGGTGATGGTTGCCACAGTCTTGAGACTTGCCGGGTTCCGGATCATCTTGTCTAGGGTGTTGACAATCTCTGCAAAGCGGGGCCGGCTGTTCCGGTCCTTCTGCCAACAGTCCAGCATGAGCTGGTGTAGAGCAGCTGGACAGTCCATGGGTGGGGGCAGCCGGTAGTCCTGCTCGATGGCATTGATGACCTGCAGGGACATACAAGGAACAGGTGTGACTGCGTGACTGCCACCAGCCAGTCACTCACAAATCATCCCCTTTATATCCAGGCTGGCTCAGATGCCCTTGCTCTGTGCTCGCACACCTTCCGCTGTAATGGATTTTCTGTGCACTTGGTTTATCCCCCTAGACTTTGGGCTCCTAGAAAGCAGGGGCCACATCATGGTACTTCTTTATGTCCCCAGTTCCTGGTGCAGGGCCTGACACACATGGACCTCTGTAAATGTTTGTTGAAGAATGAGCCAGTGAACAGCTTGAGCATCTCCACTCTTTAAGAAGACATAGGGCCCAATTCTGCCTTACTGGAAGCTGGTGGCACCAGGGGTGATGAAACAATGACATGGGAAACCCAGTGAACCCACTATTTATAAAGGATGTCCTCAAAACTTGTGGTGGACTCATTCTTTCATTTGGAAGGGAAGAGAAAGGGAGGGAAGGGATTAGCATTGGTGGAGCACTTACTCCATGCTAGAGACCCTCTAGATGCCTCCTCTGCATTATTTGTCATAACCCTCATGAGGCAGCAACATGAATGGACTTGGTTAAACAAATTTGTTCAAATCAATGACAACAGTCAAAATAACAAGGTGGTCCAAAATGAATACTGTCAATCAGATTTTGGTAATTTTCACAAACTCCAGACAGTAATTTCGTAAAGATTTTAGGAACATTAAGTACTTTGTCTGTTTTTCAGATCTTTGTGTTTTTTCATCCAGTACATCTTAACTTCAAATCCTTTTAAATCAATTATGCCTACTCTGTGCTTTTTACATTAAAAAAATAATTGTAAGTGACCCAAGTGCTAAACATATGAATTTATTATGGTACACCCATAATGCAACAGAAGGCCTAAAATACGATGTAGGCCTTAAAGTGATACTACAAAAATCTACCTATTGAAATGGAAATATGCTCATATTGTAATAGGCAAAAGAGCTGGCTGCATAACTTCAGGTATAGTATAATCTTGCTTTTGTAAAAAACAAAATAAAAACCAACTATTATACACAGGCATAGAAAAGACCTTAGAAGGATATACAGCATGGTGTTAATAGCAGTTGCCTCTGGATAGGCAGAAACCTGAATGTTTTTAATGTTTTTCTCTTTGCTTGTTTGAATTTTTTATTTTCTATAATAATCCTGCATTGATTTTATATTAAAATAAATAGTTAAGGCATTTTAAACAACAAAGGAAATAATTTGGACTTCAGGGGGTTTTTGGTGTTTTTGCCTCTACTTATAAATAATCCGATTCATTTCAACTGATTATTCTTTCTTTTTTATATACTTTATAAATTGGTCAAAAAGTGAGTATTTTCAGTTAGTTTAGTTTTTACAATTTCTATGCACAGTATGTAGGACATGAGACAGGACATGAGAAAAAATGATAACCAAGTCACTGGAGATAATCAAGGTGTATTAGTTCTTCCATTCAATAATCAAGCATACAAACCATATCAATTTTATTACTATATTTAAAAATCCAGTGACTGGGAATAGTCTCTTTTGAACACTGTGTTGCACTGACAATCTTTTCTCTCCTCTAAACTGTAGTCAATCAAATTCCCCTGCTATCCTCTGAGGACAACCATTTTAACCCCATTTCCCCATGAGAAAATGGAGGCATAAACAGTGAAGTAACTTGCCCAGGGGCACACAACTAGCAAAAGATGGGGCTGGGAATAAATCACAGTGGTGCTTGATTTTAAGTTTTGAATACTTCAAAAGCTGCATTTCCTAGGCCTCTGTTGGGCTGTCAGAGTAATCTCAGCCTGGAGAGCAGCCCCTGGAGGTGTCTGATGTCTTCTCGGTATGCAACAAGGGCATGGAGCTAAACTAAGTAATCTATGAGAATGAGCAGCTGGGCATCATTCCCATCAGCCTGGCTCACAAACCTCGCACCCTTTTCCAGTTCCTTCCAAATAACTAGATTGAGGGTCCCAGTCACAGAATCTCCAAGTGGGATTACCCATTGAATGGCCTCTGGAGCTCCTTCTGGATTGCATAAGGGCAAGTTAGGTAGGGCCAGCAGGAGGAGCTAGAGTCCAATTCAACCTCTCACGGTGCTAGGCGTCCCCAAAGTCTTCCAGTGCAGGCCAGTTAACGTTCCTGGTGGTCCCCTAAACTAATGCCATCTCTGCTCAGGTCGTTAGATGTTAGAGCCCCAGATACTAATTTTCCTCACTGACAAGCTCTACCATCTGTCCTGGAACAAGAAAGAGCACTGGAGTCAGGGCCTTTCTGTGAGAGCACAGCTCCATGGTGTGACCAGCTGATCCAAACTCTTCTGGCAAGGGATCAAGAGAATGGGTACCCATACACACGCTGAGTCTTCTCCCTGTAAGCTCTAGACTGAATGGAACTCAATTCTGTTTCCCTTGTTGCCTCCATAGCATGGCATCATGGCATCCCACTGGCTTTTTTTTTTTTTCTTGAGATGGTGTCTCACTCTGTTGCCCATGCTGGAGTGTAGTGGCACAATCGGCTCACTGCAACCTCCACCTCCCGGGTTCAAACAATTCTCCTGCTTCAGCCTCCCGAGTAGCTAGGACTACAGGCACGCGCCACCACGCCCTGCTAACTTTTGTATTTTTAGTAGAGATGGGATTTCACCATGTTGGCCAGGATGGTCTCCATCTCTTGACCCTGTGATATGCCCGCTTCGACCTCCCAAAGTGCTGGGATTACAGGCACGAATCACTTTTTTTTTGAAGACTGTTCTGGTATTTGTGTTTTGTATTTGCTCTTTGTTTGGTATGTTTAGTTTCTTTTTAAGAGGACATCAAAAAGCCACTGATTTCTCCTTTCTGGGCAGGTCAGCTAGGAGCAAAGGCCCATTTGGCTGTGTTGGTGATAGTACTACATAGTGCATAGACCTTGGAAGGCTGGTTTCAAATCCAAGTTCCATTTCTTCTTAGCTATAGAACCTTGGGAGAGTCACCTGACTTCCTGAAACTTCACAGATGAGATTGTTACAAAGATTAAATGACACCGAAGTGATGTGTGTTGAGCACAGCACAGATGAGTAGTAGGATGAATCCTTATCACACAGAAGGTGTCATTACGGCTGTGTCTATTATAGTAGATGTCTTCCCGGCAAAGAAGGGAGCTACTACTGCTCATTTTGGAGGTCCAGGAAGATAGTGTTTAAAAGCATCAAGGACTTTTCTCACTTTGCAGGGTACAGCATAGCCGTGGGAACCCTCTACCATGTTTGTGTTTAGAAAATGGGGCTTTACTCCATTTGTTACTTCTTGTAAATAATTTTGTTGTTATTACTTGAGCTGATAATCTGGGAGCATTAATGCTTCTTGCGCATAGGGAAAAAAGTGTGCTTTACCCTTCAGCCGAAAGGAAAAAATACTGAGGTCTTTCATTGGTATATGAGTAGCATTTATCCACTCAAGTCTTTGATTGAAGTACTATGCCTTTGGAGATTTGTATTATATTCTTTAAGATTTGTGTGTTTTCTAAATTTTTGAGCACATGACATTTATAGTCAAATTACAACATCATTATATCAAAAAATAACTTTGGTCTTCTAATAGGACTTTGAGATCATTCTCTGTCACACTTGCCTCACTAGCAGGTATGGGGAACAGGGAGGAGGAGTGGAGAAACACCTTCATTCTGGCTATCTGATGATGGCTGTAAATGCCAGTGACCAGGTTTGAATTGTATGGAAAGAGATGGCCTAAGGTTGGAGGCATAGTGTGTCCTACTGAGCAGAGCTGAAAATGGAAGTGAGTTTTGGGCTCCTTTCATTGGTCCATAAGAGGATGAGATAAGTGGCTATTGAGAAGATTGAAGATTAGAATGAAATCAGATGGCATTTCCAGAGAGAAGTAAAAGTAAAGCTGTGGGGGTAAGGAGACCAGTCCAGGCAACTGTTACCCAGAGCTCTCTGCTGTCTCACTTTGAAAGTTCAGCAACAACTCTTTTGGCCATTGCAAAGGCCAGTGTAAGCAAATGTCCTGGGATCTAATTAAAGGGGCAGGGAGGATGTGTGGTGAGGGGTTGCCTTTATTCACCTGTACTGAGAAATGGTAGGTACGCGGGTTCGGTAGGGATCAGGTGCAGGTAGTTTGACCCCAGGTGCTCTCTGGGACTGGAGGGAGTGACTAGAACTCCTCTGGGAAATGGGCAGAGCCCCTCCTCTTGCCCTTGCATTTTCAGGGCCTGCTCCTGGCTGCTCCCAGACATGTATTTCCCATTAGTGAGTCAGGCTGTGGGTAGTGCCTACTCGACCTTGCACTGGAGAGAGGGAAGTGGAGGAGCTCAGAGTAGTGGAGAAACCAGGGTAGAGCGGGTTAAGTCAAGCTCTGATGTTTCAATAAGACTGCAGTTCCTCTCCACAGACACTGCCACTCTCATTATCTCTGTCAATCAGATCCAAGCAGCAGAACTTCCAAGTTGCTCTCTCTGGCTGACAAACTCTCTGTACATGTTCAAAGGCCTTCCTGGGCTCTGGAAGCCTAATTACCAGCACTCCGACTTGCCTCTGCAATTCTCTTCCTTAAAACCTTTCAATTGTCATCTGTAAAATCCTTTACCGCCACCACCTTGGTGGTTTCTGATGAGTGAGGCTTCAGTCCAGCAGCTGGGAGCCCCTCCTGGCTCTCTCCCAGGCCAGGTTGTAAGAAGCTTTCTGAATGGGCGTGAAGTCACCTCTTGCCTCCTACGGGGAGCAAAATTGTACTTGAGACAATGCTTAGGGGCTTTATTTTGAAGAAGCGCAGCAAAATTAGAATAAACTGCTACTCTACAGATGTTCTTATTCCCTCTGAGACCCATCTCAAATGTCAAATGTCCAGGAAGTCTTCCCTTACCTCCTCCACTCAAATGTTCTCAAAGCCCCATGTTTATGCCACTGGACTACAAAACCCTCAAGAATAGAACCAGCAAGCACAGTGCTTAGTCACAACTAGCATACACTGACTGTGTGTTAAATGAATAATTTGGGAAATCTGGAAGTCTAATATCAGAAATTTTATTTGTTTTCAGCATTGACAGAAAATATCTTAAATGTGAAATCCTGCTTGTCAGACAGTTTTGTAATTCATTCTGTATGTGCTGAATTGTTCTTAATCAGATTAAGGTCTTGGGCAGGATAAGATGGGTCTGATTTTTCTTTTCTTTTCTTTTTTTTCTTTTTTTGAGACAGGGTCCCACTCCATCACCCAGGCTGGAATGCAGTGGTGAGATCTTGGCTCACTGCAATCTCCACCTGTAAGGCTCAAGCAGTTTTTGTGCCTCAGCCTCCCGAGTAGCTGGGATTACAGGCATGCGCCACCACGCCTGGCTAATTTTGTATTTTTAGCAGAGACAAAGTTTTACCGTATTGACCAGGCTGGTCTTAAACTCCTGGCCTCAAGCAATCCACCCGCCTCCACCTCCCAAGGTGCTGGGACTACAAGCGCGAGCCACTGAGCCCTGCTGGGTCTGCTTTTTCTAGCTAACGTGTTATACTCATTTAGCAGCTGGTATAGACAGAACCAGGGTGCAGCTGATTTCATGAAAGTAGGCTTTGTACTAACTCCACCACTTACTGATTTGACATGCTCCAGGAGCAGAGGCAAAGTGTTGCTAATCACAGATAATAGAGGACGTAGACACCAGCCATGGTTGACTTCAGGACCTGGTTAAGGATGCAGTCATTTCACCCACTCCAGGCTGGAGCCACTCTGCCCATGGCAACAGGGAGTACTGTCATAGAGGTACCCCAGCTCCTCTTTCCACAGTCTCTCTGGGAAATTGCCACCTTTCTCAATCTTCTGAGCAGCTGCCATGGCACTAAACCTGTGGCAGGAGAGCAGATTGCTGACTCCACAGCTTACAAGTTCCTCAGTGTTCACCCCAGCACAGAGGGGGTTAGAGTGTGGCTGGCTGCCAGTGGACTCAGATCTGAACTGGGGGCCGTTCTTTCTCTTTTAGCTGTAAGTTGGGAAGGATAAAAACTGCCCCCTCTCCCAAAGTGATGGGAAGGGCAAGCAGAGAACATAGATATGCAGCTTTGCAAATTGTAATCCTCTCAGCACCAAGGGGAGGGTATGTATTCAAAGCACAAAAGAGGCCTGGTCCCTGGAGATCAGCTCAGGGTGAGAGGCAGTGTTGAAATTCAGGCAGGACTTTTCATTGGAGACTTATCAAAGCAAATCATTCTAAAAAGGTTTCCTCACCTTTTAGTAAGTATGGAGCAAAGGCTCTCATGTGGAACATTCCAAAAAGCCTCTATTTAAAGCATGTTAGATGACCCTTCTCTTCCTTTCTCACCCTTTTCCCTTGAGGGCATCCTGGGGGAGTGCTGACCTCCCCGCAGACAGAGGCCCTCTCCTGTGGTCCATCTGAAGCTGACCAGCTTTGGAAAGCTTTCCACCTCTTCCTTCACTGATAGGTGATCTGGGATCATAGAAGAGTGAATTATCAGGGAAGAAGGGCCCTTTACAGTTCTTCTCTTTAAAGCTAGGAGGTACAAGTCCCACAAAGAAACTGCAACTGGCTCAGTGGAGCACAGCCATCAGAGGTAGAGCAGGATGGGAACACAGGCCCTGGCCCTCAGTCCAGTGCCTCCTTCCCCTCTGTCGTGCATGGGGAAGGAAAATACAGAATCTGAACGCTTAGAAGCAGGGTAGACTTTGCTGCTTAATTTGGGGCTGATCTATTCGTGGTCCTCAGCCATTTGGAATTAAACAGCCCTTTGTCTCTTGGGTTGGGGACTGTGGCCTTGGCACCTCTACAGGCTTTGTGGTCATAGGGACTTTCACACCTCCATGCTGGGCTCTTTGATTAGTTCCAACATCCATGCTAAGGGTGGCCGTGTGTCCCCTGCCCTGAACGCTGCAGGTTCAGGTTATGAGGCCATGAGCTGAAAACCGGAAGAACTGGTATGCTACCGCCTTTGGGATCCCTTCGATGAGGGTTTTGTGGTGACAAAGTGCTGCTGACACTCACATCTTGGTTGGACATATCCCAGTAGGGTCTCTCTCCAAATGACATGACTTCCCACATGACAATCCCATAGCTCCAAACGTCGCTGGCTGAAGTGAACTTGCGGTAGGCGATGGCCTCTGGAGCTGTCCATCTCACGGGGATCTTCCCTCCCTGAAAGGAGAAAGCGTGGTCAGCCCAACCATCAGGTTTCTGGTTGAAGGCAGGCAATAAAAAACTTGGCATGCACATCCTTTCAAACCCTCACTCCCATATCTTGTGAATTATGACAGACAGGCTATTCTTGCCTCATGCACAAGCTATGTTGCTGTGCCTAGTTAGAGAAGCTCAAGGTGACCAGCATGCCTGTGCTGGCCTCTAGCCTTATGTGGACACACCACATGTGCCCTGGTTCCCTATATATTGATTCCAATGTTGCTGCAGGGGAGGTGGGTGGGAGGAGAGAGTGTAACTGTCATAAACTTACTGGAACTACCTGAGATTGGCTACATGAGATACAAGTTATGGTTTTCTTTGTTCCCTGGCAATGTAAAAGCTAACACATTTGGGTCAGAAGGAATCGCAATGACACAAAAGGAAAGAAGAGTGATGAAGCATGCCTCCTAGAGAGCCCTGCCACTACAAGGTCATGCTATGCTGCCCTCTGCCCCATTTTCATTGCATTCCACCTCTGGGGGGGCAGGTTTTCCTAACTCTGTAGCCTGCAGATAGCCCTGGGTTTCACGAGGGTTGAATGGTCCCAGTGCTGTGGTCTTTCTACATGCTGACTGTCCTGCCAGCCCTTCAGTGGAGGTCAAGATTCCGGAGGCTGGAGATGCCCTTTTCTCTAGGGGCACCCTTAGGCTTGTTTCTCCTTCTTGCCTCCAATCCCACAATGGAGCTTTCTAAATTGGCTCTCTGCTTGGCCCTCAGCTTGTCTGCCAGACCTTGGCCAGTTTTGTTTACCTAAGGGATTCATATCTATCCACTCATTCATTCATCCCATCAAGAAATAGGCAATAAGCACCATTTTGTGCCAAGTCCTGCTGAGAAGCTGGTGTCCCAGAAATGAGCCAGTGTCCCTGCCCTCAAACTGAACAGGACAGTGGGGAGGCAGACAAGAAAACAGAAGCTTAAAATATATTGTTAAAAACATTGAAAAGCGAGGGAAGGTGAAGATGTGAGTAGGTACAAGGCATTCTGAAAACCAGAGGAGACTCCACAACCAGGGAAGGGTCAGGGAAGGCAGGCAGGAGCTGTTAGAGAAGCAGTTTCTGATGGTGGTTAAGAACTCCTGGAGCCTTTGGCTGGGTTTGGTTACCAGCACTGCCTCTTTCTACCTGTGCAACGGGGGCAAGTAACCTACTTCTCTGTGCCTCAGTTTCTCATCAGCACCTACACAGCCCAGTGTTAACTATTATTTTCACTATGCTCAGCCCTAGAGAACAAGTAGACGTTAACCAGGCAAAGTGACTGCAGGAGGGAAGTCCAGGCAGGGAGCAGCTTGTGCAATGGCCAGGGATAAGAGAGAGGCTGAGACATGCAAGCAATCCACAATGGCTGAAGCACAGAGTTCCTAAAGGAGAAGTAATAGGAGGTGAGCATAGAGCAGACAGCTGGCATGGCCTGTGCTGTCCAGTATCAGTGCCAATTACAGCTGTTAAACAGGGTGCTCGCCAAGGCTGCCCTCCAAAGCTTATCACTCCCTATAGCAAATATGGCCCCCCCTTTCCAGTTCTTTATGCCAAATGCCAGGATTTCACCCCATCATGCTTTTTTCTATGCTTAGGCATTGTCTCACTCATAATACACGGAACATGAAGCTGCTGGCTGCAGTAGTGACAGCACAGAGCGGGGACGGCAGCTCCCTCACTCCCCTCCTCATTTACCTCATGCTTCCACTGAAAGAGGATATTTTTATACTGCCCATTCTTACAATCTGCTCAAGTCACCAAAGATACATGGTTGACGTTAGCAAAAATACTGTAAAAATGTAAAAATGGTTAACCCAAGCTAGGGAGAAAAAAAAAAAAAAGGACCAAACAGCAAAGTGTATTTTTATCTGGTTTCCTATCTGGAGCCTGGGAGGAATAAAGGCAACCAGGCTGGACCTCCCCAGGCACACATCCCACTTTCTGCAAAGAAGACAGTCCTGATTTCCCCTGAGGATGGGGGCAGGCTTTTGTGGTGGGGGAGATGTCCTCAGCTCAAATGCCAGCTACACGACAAATGCCGGGAGGGCATGTTCAGGCTGTGGCTGCAGCAGGACTCTCTGTTCTCATCATCCCCCAGAACATGAGTGAATTTACTGGTTTTATCTACACGGTCCCCACAGCTGGGAAGAGAGGAGGAGAACTCATCCAGTGCAGCAGCAGCTACCAAACACCTGGAGGTCAATGTCTGAGAGTGCAGAGACCCCAAGTTGTGTGTTGCCACTAGGGGAGGTGCTGTTGTCACACCTCGAGATGGCCTGGGCTCCCCCCAGAAAACAGGGGCTTTGGTTCTCTCAAAATACCTGGGTCAAGTGAGGTAGGAGAGAGTTGGAGTTTAATTAGTATACTGTGTGTGTGTGTGTATGTGTGGGTGAGACAGAGAGAGAGAGAGAGAGAGACAGAGAGAGACAGAGAACCAGATTCTGTGTGAGAATGTATCAATCTGTGTGCGAGAGTGGGAGACAGAGAAAACTTGGCAGTGTAGGTCTCTGAGTAAAAGAGAGTTAGGGCTTGCTTATCTTTTGTGTGTTTTTGTGTCAGAGAGAGGAGGGGAGATGACAGTGTGGCTCTTCTGAATTTCAAAGAGGTGATTTGGGAGTCTGAGACTGTCCTCCTCTGCCAAGTCTGGAGCAAACCCCAGGGGCTGTCAGTGACAGCTGTGGGGCCGCTCCCTCTTGCCTGGAAAGTGGAAGTGCTGGCCCACAGCAAGGAGCCTCCAGCCCTCCTGCCACCTTGCACTGTTGGGCCTCACTGAACACTGAGCTTGGCCTGTCACCGCCGCCCCCACCATCCCAGCAGGTGGCTGAGCCTTGGAGAAGAGCCCCTGAACAGGCAGGTGACAGCTTGTCACGGCAGGCTCTCCCACTCAGCTGAAGAGAAGGGGGACACTGATCTGGGAGGGAGAACAACAGGAAATGCAAAGTCAGGGGGCACAAGAGTGGGCACTTTGTTTCCTAGGAATTTTAAATCTTTCTTCCATCTTTCAAACATCATTGTCAATGTTGCCTTCTGGTGCTCAGAAGTAATCAGGGTGATGATTATTGATATAATCAATATCAATTATTGATATAATTAATATTATCAAGCGATGATAATAACTTGTCTTCAATTACGTGAAAGGAAATCTATTAATTTAGAGGACGGTGACCAGCCCTGTGGAGGGAAGCAGAAGAAAAGGAAGTGGAACCATGCGGCAGCAGGCAGGGTTCTGCCAGCCAGGCGGTCCTGCCGCTGCTGCATGAGGAGCTTGGCCCCGACACCAAGGCCAACACAGTCACGTGAATGTAAAGTGCCCTAAGAGCCCCCAGCTCCCCAGTGCAGCCATGAGGAAGGGGCATAGAGGAGTGCTTGCTCCATTGGGTGGTGAGGAACATCAGGGAAAAATTCTCAGGGCAGTGAAGAATGCATGGGGTTCACTGGAAAGGAATCTGCATTCATACAGACACAGAAGTGCTGACACTGGGCTTGGGGAGAGCACTGTCCCTGGCAGGGGTTTCTACAAGGTACCAGATGGCTTGCTTCCCAGGGGATGCTAAGGGCATGGGTCTGCTTTCTGCAAGGACCGAGTTTCCCTAGGGCTGCCACAGGGGTCGCTGTTGGAGCATGGGGGAGGGAGAAGAGAAGAACAGGAAGAGGCAGCTCACTATCATCAGGGTCTGAGTTCCCTTCAAGACTTCATACACACCTTCCACACAGAGTTTTGTATTGAATGGTGTTGCCAAGAATTCTTCAAATGTTTGAAAATCACTGCTTCAGAATAATTATGTCTTAACTCAGATATAAGATAAACTTAAGATTGTGTGTGTGTGTGTGTGTGTAGAATGTGGTGAACTAAGAGAAGATATCTGGCAGTGAATTAATCCTAACCCAGCTATCCTCAGGGTCATCTGCCGACCCACATCCACACGTGCTAGCAGGTGTGATGCCAACAGGTAGAAGCTCTTGGTGTGGAGGCACTTTAGTCCCTCAGCTTCAGACAGCATGCAGCAAGCATCTATGTAGCACCCATTCTGTCCTCAGTACCCTGCTGTGGACATGATAATGAGGAGCCTCAGCCCTACTCTCAATGGGCAATGGATGTACCTAACACCATCCAGCCAGCACACTGTCTTGCCAGAGTGAGGTCACATAAGTACAACACATAGCTTTGGTTTTAGAGCCCACCCAAGTATGAAGTTTTCCAGGCCAAGGTCCAGGCATATGACTGATTCCTTTTGCTAATTACTTATTGTTGAGAATCCCAGAGGGTAGTACTTCTATGTGTCTGGTCATTGCTACAGCACTTTTCTCCACCGCCTTGTGTGAGACGAAGTCTCAATGGGATTATGGCAGAAATCCAGCCACTCATGAATATTGAGTATTGTGTTCATGGACTTGTTCACCAAATATTTCAGTTGTGCAGCATGAGAGAATCCCCTCGATGTTTGGAAGTGATAGGTTCATGGCTGAGTGTATCATGAAATGGCTCTGAATTTCATAATGCCCGCTATTCCAAAAGGTTTCTAATATATAAAATACATTGAGGTTGTTGTGAAAATCCAATATGACAGATATTTAAACCACACAATATATTCTTATTATCATTAAATGGTAAATTATTGAACGTTGTGTATTGAGTTATATCCCTGCAAAAGACATGTTGAAGTCCTAACTTGTGATAGCTGTGAATGTGATCTTACTTGGAAACAGGGTCTTTGCAAATATAATCAAGTTAAGATGACATCATACTGGATTAGGATGAGCCCTAAATTTCATGCTGGCATCCTTATAAGAAGGCCGAATGAAAATACAGCAACACACCAGGGAGAACACCATGTGAAGATGGAGGCAGAGATTGGGGTGATGCATCTACAAGCCAAGTTACATCAAGAACTGATGGCAACTAGGAGAGAGGCATAGAATAGATCCTCCCTAGAGCCTTCAAAGAGAGAATGAGCCTGCCAACACCTTGATCTCAGACTT